TAGAATAAACCAGGGTTGCCTGCCAACTGAATATTGAAAGCATACATCAAGTTCTAGACATCAAAAAATGATACATACACTACAACTACCTGACTAAATTTAATGGAGAATTACATTTTTACTCAGTGATGGTTGACATTTACAACAGTCATTTTCTCATCAAGGTAATCATTTTAATGTGTAACATAACTTTGAAGCAAAATAAGGGTAGCACGTGTACATGCTGATTTAATTACATGGTATTTATTCAATAGCCTAGGTTTTCAGCAAAAATTACAGGATTTTTGTCAAAAATCAAATAATGATCTGTCAATTATTTGATCATCTGGGTCCAAATTATTCAAATTATGTCAAACGGGCAAGTAATTGAAGTTAAACTCGATACAAAATAACCAAAGCCTATTTACATATGTCCAAATTTTCTGGTACAACAAACAATACTATTACTATGAATAAATATTTGAGCATGCCACAGAAATCACTTAATCTGTTCTCTCTACAACTTCTGCAAGCTAATCATAGGTAAAACCAATATGGATGGCAACCATGTAGGTATTTTTAATCATAAAACCCTTCTCCCACCCACGATACACAAGACAAATCTCTCACAGAATAATAAATTTTGATTCTTATCAATTTAATGATTTACTACATTCATAACCTTTCACTTTTTTCCATGTGAATAGGACCACGCTTCATTGAATAAGAGATTATGAATGAAAGGTCCCCGTTGATATTATTTGTAGCATTACTGCATTCACTTGATCTTTCTATCTACATCCCTATAAGTAGTGCATGCTCTGATTGGTGGCTAAATATTTGAATTGAAAAGTTTTGACCTTTTATTATTTTCACATCAAAGGGTGTGTGCTATTATTATGGTACAACAACTTTACAGCCTTCTACATAACACTTAAATTCACCATTAACAAAAATGCCATAATGTCAATTTTAAAAAAGTATTAAGTAACCTTGAAGGACTGGCAAAAGATATTGATTTTTAATTTTTTAAATTGAATATAGAACAACTTTGAATTCTAGTACTCTTACAGAATATCTTTACTTATGATGTCATATTAATCTTATTTTGAATAAATTATTTTTAAAAAAATCTCATAGCTATATTATTATATGATGTCTTCTATCAATCACTAGAGATGTGTTTTCTATTATCAATTCTATTCAGATGTTTGTTTGGACAAAATGAAATTACAGGTAGTTGAATTATCTCTATTCAAAATTTTGCAGTGCACTGAGGTGTTTACAAGGTTTCAGGGACAGGGATGTAATTCAGCATAAAATTGTTGTCAGGCAATGAAATTAGTGTTCATCCTAGGACCTAGAACAATCCCAGAAAATTTGAAAATAACATTGCAAGGTCTTTGAAATGTAGCAGGTAGTTTATAATGTTTTTGTGACAGGACCATTAAAATTGTAATAGGAATATTCACTAGAACTAGATAAATAATCCAAGCAAAAAATTGTAAAAGCTCTGATCTGTGGAGTGCTTTTAAGATTTCTTTGACAAAGGAAGTAACTCTGCGAAAAATCATTTTGCAATAAGGTACCTTCCTTAAGACTAGTTCATCAATACCAGCAAGTTTGAATTTTTTTTTCCTCAAAAACTCTCGATTTTTAGAAAGAATTGTGGATGTACAGATAACAGACTATGGTAATGGCAATGTAATCCCACATGAAATATGGGAACATACATGTAATAATGATATTAAAGCAGTCGCCTTTAGTTGACAGTCCCCTTTCGAATGAAATGACATGTCATGTTTCAAACTGAATCCATCATTTAGCTACTAAGTATGTTTTTTCGTGGCACATGATGGGTTTTCTGCTTGCTAAGCACCTCCTTGCATGCTTGATGAGGGTCCATTACAATCTAGTATTACCGATGGTGTCAGTTTCAAGACTCTTAAGGTTTGAATTGGTGTTAGAAGATCACTTTAAAACACTTTCAAAGTGAAGGTGAAGAAAACTGTCTGCTTACAAATTTGGTTACATGTGAAGTATCTGTATGATATCTTTTTAACTTCCATTAGAGATGGCAAATTTGAATTCTTTTAATGAAATGGGAGACTTTAACAGATTTAATTTTGTTTTCAAACTGGGCTATGACTTTTAAACACATGAAACTAAATTATAAAAAAAAACCACATGTTCAACAAAAATCATTTTAAATTGTGTCTGATAATGAAATGTGCTGGAGGAGACAGCTTGCTCAAAATTTAAAACACTTCAAATGTTTTACATCTTTTTAAACAAGGATTATTTTTGTCAATGCAAAAATGCTCCAAACAGGAGTTTATTGACTTCTTTTTTGTATAAGTTAAAATGAAAAAATTTGTGTTCTGCTTATTAAATGAGAACATTATAAACCAGTACAAGTAGTAATATCTTACTTTCAAATTCTCAACTTTTTACCAAATTCTTCACAGCCAGACATTTTAATTTTTACAGTCTGTCCAGACAGTCTAATTCAATAACTTCTATCATATTGTCTCTGTTCCAAACATTTATTTTTCATAAACATAATAAAAGTTGGCAATGTTTCTAGATAAATAATTCTTTATTTTTTTTAACAAATTGTTGAAAACTATTATATATTAAATTTTGAGCTAAGTATGCTAAACTTTTAACCAATCAACCTTACATCTTTTCTTATAAATGCTGACCTCAGATAACAACTTTTCACATTTTTCCTTTTTTATATAGCTCTATGTAAGTATGTATATAAATATATATGAATAGCGCGGATGTTTACTCATACTGTGGTCTCTTTAATATACAGACAAAATTCTATTCATCATTACCATGGCCGATAACATCATATATTTAAAGCCATTATTTCTTACTTCATGTCGTTTAGTGCTGCTCTTTTCGTGGTCTCCTGATCACTATCTCATGTATTGTTGAAATTTATGGACTAAAAACTAAAGCAGAGACAAAGGTTCGGTTAAAAGCCTTTTTGTGAGTACTCTCACTTAAAAGATCATAAGAAATGACTTTCTTGAGCTGTTAACCTCATTTCTACACATCCTGCGATTCAGCGTTCAACTTCTATTCTCGAATGACGTAAATGTTGCTGATTATGTTGTCATGAATCCAAGAATATAGACATGTACGTTGTTTTTATTACCTACAAATTAGAAACAAGTTCTTACCTACAAATCAGAAACAACTTCTACCACTGCTAAAATTCATTGTGAACCCCAATTCAATTCTTCAAGTCAAGTCAAATAGTGGTCACTTCTATTTAATCCCTTTTATATAAGTAAACAGTGGACAGACAGTAGATAAACAATATGACAGCAACTTGATTAACCAAATAAAGTACCAAACAGCCTTGTCTTCAACAAATGCAGCCAATTTATATACATGTACATTTACTTATCCAGTTGAATGTGTGTGTATATCTACTACTATAAAGACCTCTACGATGTATATATCCTACACCTGACTCCATAATAACTAATAGAAGAAGTACTCTATCCCAGCTGACTATATACTGACCAGACTCAAGCAGATTTATCTCATTGCATTATCTACTTGAAATAAAATAGTCTACATACAAACGGATAAAAACATTATAATTAAGTAACCATTTAATTATTATTTTGAAAGGCCACTCCCATACCGATAAAGATTTATAAGTTTGTTTTGGAGACATGTAGATATGTATTGGTGATTTGATACTTTGCTCTATATTGTAATAAAAATATATTACAGAGTGTTAAATTATGTGATATTTCTCATTAGAAAAAGATCCATATGTGTTATGTCCAACTTGAATACTTGAGATAAATTTGCAAGGTTTGAGATCCTGATATCCTAGAGTCTCTTAAAAAGTTTCCCCAATTAGCCTGTTACTCGCCCATAACACATTACATATGGTGTTTAACTAAATAGGAGATATAATAATCAAGTTAAAACACAATGTTGACAATAACTATCATAATTAAATGTTCATAGACTTTAATAGACCCCAAAAATGAATGCAACTACACAAATTATTTAGCAGAGGAAATAGTTTGTGTCTTAGTGACTTTCAATGTTGTAATAAAATCTAATGGAATGGGGTTTAATTTCTTGGTCATTTTGAGACATGGTAATTTAAAAGGTAGGAGAAATTTATCTGGACAGCAGCTTTTCCACTTACTATTCTCTGACTTCAAAAGTTCTTTTACATGCATCTATGTACATGGGTGGACCTTATATTTTCATCGCATCCAAATGACTAGGTACATTTTTCCTGTCAGCCTCACATGTGCAACCCTTGAAAAAATACAGCAATTTCTACTTGGCTCTGTTTCTTCATTAGCCCTGTCGGTGTAGGACATTAAATCACACTTCATTTCATCTCTCCTTGGCTCGCACTGAGATTCAACCCCAGGACATTCTAGTCAAGGGTCCAGTTCTCTTACCTCACGATTATCCTGCCATCTACTAACCCGATTCTTAGGATAAGATGATGTTATCTCAAGACTTCAACACATTGGCTTCCTAGTTTTTAAACCAGAATGTTCAAATGTTTGATTTATCAACACCCCAGATATAAATCTGTCAAAATAATGTTCTAAGTGAAATGTATTGGAAGGAATTGGATGAGAATCTTATATTGATGAATTGCCTAATCTGATCCTGTGTCCAATTATCAGTATCAATAAACATATTTGAGGACAAAAATTTATTTTGTGAGTTTTGACTTGATGATTCATCTTAAATTAATCACGTCTTCAGGAGAAAAAAAATATTAACCTAAATTTGCGAATCACATGGCATGAAATCAAAATTAAGACTTCTGGATTAAATTATAACTGTTTATATGTGAAAATAAATGGCACTGTTCATTAATTGTATGCTAAAATGTGTGAATAGTGTAGAAATCATAGTTTAAAAGTTACATATATGAACTTTATTCCGAAGTTGGAAACTTTAAATATCAAGTAGGTTCTTTTCTTGACCTTCAAATAAAAGGAAATTCTGCTTACCGTATGTCTTAAATCCACCAAGTCAAACCCAATGGTTGGATATGTATGTTTCTGACTTCTACAACCTAAAATTAAATGTTGTCACTGAATTATCAACTGACTTACATGAAGACAGGCAATAAAAGTGAATCTTAGGCAATTGGAATTCATAGCAGAAACAATAGAAATATCACTGTATTTGAAATTCTCCCATCACATCCTCTCCCCCTGTCCCACCCTGTGAAATAACATATGACGATCTTATTTAAAGTATTTATGAGACACTAAGTCCAATGTAATATTATTTCTATGTGCTTTATTAACGGTTTATGCAATTTCTAATCATACTTCTATCTTCTTCTTATCCAATTTTTAAAATTCTTTCACAAGGAAATGGAAAATAAAACTTTCTGCTCTTAAAAATCTAATAGAAAGATATTAAAAGTGTATGTCATTGTTTTTCATTTGGAAGTCGTTTTTCTTGCACTGGTCTTCTTATATATACTTACATGAATGATATATGTACAGTACATACAAGTAAAGAAATAATAAAATGAAGTATAGACATCATCATACTTTGTATGTCATATTATAAGCAGGTCCTATTGTATAGAACATATGGTTTGTATAGGATTTATTTGACTGCACATTCTCAAAGAGCTTTTAGTATATACAATAGCCATAAAGTATGTCTATATAAGCTTATAAAAATTTACATAAATACATCTAAATGGATGTATTTAATATAAATCCCTTATAACCAATGCTTTAGAAGTTCCTTACAATATATGCGTTTCCAACTTTAATGAACAGATTCTTTGTAGGTAAATTAAATCTTGTGTTCAAACTCAATGAACACACCATAAATTGCATTTAACAGACAAGCTGACAATGTACTGGTATGTGACATGATATATATTTTCCGACCGATTGCTTCAGTAATGCTAGCATAGAACCCACATTGTATACACTTGATCCAAGTTTTTGGTTGTTTTTTTTTGTTATTGCTATAGCTTTTTAAATTACCGATTTGGTCAAGTACACACAAAATTATTTTGCTGTACCTATGCTAAAAATTTATAATTTAGCCTTTCACAAAACCTTTGAATTTTTTCTTTATCCATTGGTATCAGAAGTGGGATATGTGCAGAAGCTACAATTGACCTCTAAGGCTTAACAGATGATTCACCACGGTATATAGAAATTTATTATCTACTCGCAAGAATTATGATTCGAATCTATAACTTATTGGGGGAAAATCTCTCTTCCCGCTGTAAAATGGAAATTGTTGCTATTAAATGTATTTATGTTGAAGTCTTGATAAAGTAAATGAAATGTCTTTAATAAATCTGCAATCATTGCAGTAATGCAACAACCATTGCTTAATATATAGTTCACTCGCTTGTCCCCCAAGGACATTTAACATTCATACCTTCACGTTAAGGTATGCATTCAATATAGCATGATATCGTTACCAGTTGAAACCCTTACCACTATACATAGATGATCTTTCTGACAAACTTCAAATTGGGTACATGATCTTAATCTAAGTACAGAATAAATATGAAGAGCATAATGGGGAACATATCATATTTGTATGATAATTCAACACCCTGATCGCTGTCATATATTAATATACTACACACCCAATACCAATCTTTATAGGCTTCTTCACAATGTTTTTCAAGAGTTATTTCTTTTAACAATAGCAACCTGCATTTTTGTGTCTATCTTGCACTCGAACCTACATGCCTGTAAACAAAGGCCAACGGTAGACATGTATATTATCATGTAAATTCAATGAGTATATTGTCATTTTACTAAGAAAGAAGTGATGTTTGTAGAAAGGAGACTGTAATTAGACCATTGAACAATTTCATGTTTTCATGTCATGTGATACAGACATGTTGCATGATTTACTTTTGAAATAAACTTAGCCTATGGCTTTCTACTTTCCACCCTACCGAGAGTTAATATTCTATAATGTGTAATTATAAGGTGGTGTATTTTCACAAGGTGATGGTAATGTTTATAAACAGCAAGACTTTGCTTGCATATTCTAGCGAAAATGTTTATTTCATTTTTTTTAATATTTCTATGAATTTTTGTATACATAAACATTTGATGTGCAAATCACATAAATACAAATTCTTCATTAGAAGGCAAAGGCTTGTGCAGAAATTCGGGGGGCTTCAAGAATGCTACAATTGATGTCTCTTAAATGTCCAGCTGATAAATTTAATTCCATAGCAATATCATCCTCGGTATCCCTTGTGGTATCGTTCCGTTCTACTCCACAATACCCTTGGTCCATTCACAGGTTCTTTTGGAATTCAAATTATCTGCCCCTGATCATAGGTTGATTCTACAAAACAATCAAAAAACAGTTTACATACAAGTCTTAGCATCATTGTTTACGTTCACCACAATAATCTTAGTTGCAATAAACTGCGAGTAACTTCCCTTCGTCCACTCAATTGGTCTATGCAAAATAGCACAAGTATCAAGGGCAGATAATTTGATTATGTGTCTCCCCCATGAATGGACTCAGGGTATAGTGGAGTAGAACGGAACGAAATCACTGGGGATACCGAGAATGTAGCAATATATGGTGTCTTCAGAAGTCTTATTGGGAATTATCTAAAATATATCATTTGAAAGGCTTCTAGTGTTTTTTCTAGTTTCAATGTCTTGCATAAAGTTAGGTTAGCATAACTTTGATATAGCTAATGATCTGTTAATGCGACATTGGTTTTTCTCTTTTTTCCAAATAACAAGTAAAACTTCCTTAAGAAACACTATAACAAACAACCACAATTTAAAAGTTGTTGTACTAGCAGCATAATCTAACTGATGAACTACTGGATGCCCATAATTTACAATCTTATGTTTTGTGCGCAATTGAAAAATCATTTTTTTGCATATCACCACAGGCCAGTCTTCTGTTATTATCATAATTATAAGATAAAATTGAAATAAAAGTAAACACTATCGGTATACTGTATTGCAGCGATTCATAGTAGCCCTCCCTGTCCACTGATTAAAACTGATGATAAGATATACAAATATATGAGTAGTAACTGCACAACTATAAACAATCAATTCAAGTGAATGGATTGGCCGAATTTCAATTTCAAGCAATTTATTAAAAATTTGTTTTCGGAAATGTATGTATTTCATGAATGTCCTAACTACATGCCTTAATAAATAGTCTAATAGAACAGACCTACTAGTGCTTGAGTTTTGGCATGGTTTCATCAGATATATTTTTTACCAATTGAAATGAATGGAGATTTATAGCACACCAACAGGTAACAGAAAATTTGTAAGTTATTTTTATACCATTTATGAATGAAATTTTTCCATTAGAGTTGCACTACAAACTATTGTTGAACCATTTGTTTTATTTATGGACCAAGATTTAAACAGACATAATACATCAGTATCAAATTAATTCTAAATTTTTTGTCTCTTTGACAAAATGATCAAATAACAAGTCATAATTTGAATAAAAATATGCTAAATGTTTTACATAACAATATAATTGTGGACAACCTTTTGTTGAAAGCATTGCATCGTTGACTTTGAACTGCTTGATGAGCAATTATTGTATAAATCCTTTGATGTCTGTTGTTATGTATATAACATGTAAATAAAAGATGTAATTACACCCCAGCAATAAAATAAGTAACAATATAAGTTCAATGTTTATTGTCGATAACAATAGATCAGTCGTGATGATGACCTTTCCAAATAATAATGTGGCATTGTCACGTTCAAATTTTGTGGATGGTTTAGATTATAGGATATTGGAGACAATTAAAGAACTTCATCCATCAAATTCCAGAATTTGGTTTAATATTTTTTTTCAACAACTTTTTTGATGCATTAAATGATAAAATATAAAGAAAAACAAACATTTGTGGTTTAATAAAAAAAACACTGTTCCATTGTATCTAATTCATTCAACTTAATCGAAAAACAAAAGAAAATGTTTAAATTTTACAATGAATTAACATCATTTCACCTTTAAACATTGGCAGCATTCAAAACATATGTTACACTTATCAAATTTAAATATATTCTAGCTGTCATTTCTCAAAATGAAATTTTACAACATCTTGTCATTTAAAATTGCACATGTGTGTTTTAAGTTGTGATTACTTGTTTTCTTTCTTTATTCTGAAAACAGACACCTTGAAGATTATTCCACAAACTTTCATTTAAATTTTGATATCCAGTCATATGAAACATTTTTGGTTATTATAACTGCTCAAGTTTATTTAGATTAACAAAATATTTAGCACTTATAAAAATATACAATATTTTGCTATGTTTATATCACTATTATCCAGTTTTAGTGAAAATAATTTAAACTTTAAAAATATACCATTCTTTGGGGTTTTTTTTTTTAAAAAAAAAACCTTTTTGTTCAATTACTCATACTTACATTAAAGAAAAGTTATTGTCATAATATCATTTTGATCATATTTATATGAAAGTTAAGAGTGAATATCGTTTTCATCATAAAAGTGTTAGATATAATCTCAGATGGTATTTATTTATATCTGGTGTAGTAAAGGGATATCCCACACTAAAGTGTTACTGAAAAGGTGTCTTTATACTTCTAGGAATAAATAAAAAAACCTCTCTACAAGTATTTACTACAGTACCAGGAGACATTTTTAGACACTGTATAATATACAAATGACACAATTGTCCACCTTTAGGTCAACTGTTTGAACAGTCATTTTATGAATTGAACATATACTAATCTTAAACAGTTACTCAATTTCAATGCCAATATCTCTTAAAGTTACAATTTCATATTTTTAAGTTATATTTTTAAAATGTATTGAAATAAAGCCCTAAAATAGATGGTATCTATAAACAGTCCTACTTTGTTAAAGAATAATCCTATTAATCCTATAATTCACTATTGCCAGTTGAGAAATTGGCAAAAATATAATTTTCAAGTTCAAATTCAAACATTTGAAGATAGCTATTCCATGGTGGGGAATAGGAAAACAAGGGAGGTAATTTGGAGGTAATTGTGTTATTATTTCCAGTGTGAAGATTTTTAAGT